GTGGCAGGTGCAGCACTTTGTGAACCTCCATGTGCAGATTTCGTGGCAGGCACAGCGCTGTGTGAACCTCCATGTGCAGATTTCGTGGCAGGCACAGCACTGTGTGAACCTCCATGTGCAGATTTCGTGGCAGGCGCAGCACTTTGTGAATCCCATGTGCAGATTTCGTGGCACAGCACTTTGTGAACCTCCATGTGCAGATTTCGTGGCAGGCACAGCACTGTGTGAACCTCGATTTCGTGGCAGGCGCAGCACTTTGTGAACCTCCATGTGCAGATTTCGCAGCGCTTTGTGAACCTCCATGTGCAGATTTCGTGGCAGGCACAGCACTTTGTGAACCTCCATGTGCAAATTTCGTGCCAGACACAGCACTTTGTGAACCTCCATGTGCAGATTTCGTGGCAGGCGCAGCACTTTGTGAACCTCCATGCGCAGATTTCGTGGCAGCCCCACCATCTGTGGAGCTGGAAGCTGAGAACTGGCGACTTTGTAGTGCAACTTTAGTACGCGGAGTATCTGGGGAGCTGGAAGATGAGAACTGGCGACTTTGTAGTGCAACTTTAGCACGCGGAGCAATCTGTGGAGCTGGAAGCTGAGAACTGGCGACTTTGTAGTAGAACTTTAGTACGCGGAGTATCTGTGGAGCTGGAAGCTGAGAACTGGCAACTTTGTAGTGCAAGTCCAGTACGCGGAGCAAGCCGTGGAGCTGGAAGGTGAGAAGTGGCGACTTTGTAGTGCAACTTTTGTATGCGGAGCAATCTGGGGAGCTGGAAGCTGAGAACTGGCGACTTTGTAGTACAACTTGAGTACGCGGAGTATCTGGGGAGCTGGAAGATGAGAACTGGCGACTTTGTAGTGCAACTTTAGTAGGCGGAGCAATCTGTGCAGCTGGAAGCTGAGAATTGGCGACTTTGTAGTACAACTTTAGTACGCGGAGTATCTGGGGAGCTGGAAGATGAGAACTGGCGACCTTCTAGTACAACTTTAGTACGAACTGGCGACTTTGTAGTACAACTTTAGTACGCGGAGTATCTGTGGAGCTGGAAGATGAGAACTGGCGACTTTCTAGTACAACTTTAGCACGCGGAGGAATCTGTCAAGCTGGAAGCTGGGAACTGGTGACTTAACTTTAGTACGCGGAGTATCTGGGGAGCTGGAAGATGAGAACTGGCGACTTTGTAGTACAACTTTAGTACGCGGAGCAAGCTGTGGAGCTGGATGCTGAGAACTGGCGACTTTGTAGTGCAACTTTAGTACGCGGCTGAGTCATCTCTATTCTGTATTGTGCTAAATGCATGAACAACGTTTTTCCTGCGAGACAGTTGACGGTGGTTGCTTCGCTTTCGCTCCATTGGTCGGTTCCAACTTGTTTTGTCAAAGAACATCGCAGCTCGGCGAATCAGCCTGCCACATGCCCATTTCCTATAGGCTTATTCTTTTGAAAACTTCCGCCGCCGGCTTGCCCGGGAACTACTTGTACATACTATCCATAACCCAGAATCACATGGAAGAACTCAGTTTGACGATCCTTGCTGTTTTTTTGGGTTTGTAGAGGGTTCCTTGAGGCTTGTGAGAAGATCTTTTCCACTGCACCGTGGGCCAAGGTCAAGTCGGAGCCGTTCTACAGCGCGATTATCACTCCGGTGATCCACTACTGCATGGGAGGCGTGTGGTCTCTTGAGACAGTTTTGGCTGCGAGAGCTCCAAAAGGAAGCAGAAATGAACCGGAACTAGCGGCTAGCGGTTGGTGAGCTTACTGTGAAATTGGATTTGGGTACTGGGTGAGTCCTTTCACTTACTTAGCACACAAAGCGCATCCGTTTTGTAAAGTGTGCCTTTGGAGACCGGCAGAGCTCGAGTTTTCCGTGTGCTCTTTTTCCTCCGTATTTTGCAAGCATGCTTTCCTTTCAGGTTTTCAACAAATTTATCGCGTTCTTCAACTCTCCTCCTTTTCCTTCTTTTCTATGGCACGAGCCGTGCGCAAGCAACACATGCAACCGCAACCTTGAATTTCAGCTGCCTGCCAAAGGCGAATTGATGGCCTGATCGGAAAATTTACGTCCTTCCCGAAAAAATGTTTTCCTGTCCCTGCTTTTTCCCAAGAGATGTGCTCCAGGTTTGGAGATCGATGAGAATTCTGCAGTGGTGGGCAAATCTGGCAAGGTGAAATGATCGGGCAGTGGAACGCCAAAACCCATTCTATTTTTTGGGTGTGGGGAAATCTTTGTTGAGTTGTCGACAATGACAAGCTGGTCCAGTTTCCAGAATTTGATTCACATTGAGGATTAGGCGAAGGTCAAGGAGAGGACGAAAATATACACTCAGCATTGTTTTCATATGTGATTGGTTTCTATCCACTTGACATCCCTTGGGCAAATCTGACGAGGGGTGGAAGTGGGAAGTGGTTGCAAATGGTTGCAATGTGATTCAGCCGTTGGGAAAAAACGCAAGGAGATCCCTCCATAGCCCTGTCAGAAAGGTAGCGCCGCCCAACCCAGGAGTTTGTGTGGGTCGCAAATCCATCTAGGCATCAAGGCTCCAATTTTTCCAGCTGCCATGGTGCTTTTTGGAGGCCATTCCAGGGCTCTACGCGGCGGGCGAGGTGGCTGGCGGAGTCCATGGGAACAACCGCTTGGGCGGAAACTCCTTGCTGGACTGCGTGGTCTTTGGCCGTGTGGCCGGACGGTGTCTTGGGCAGAAGTGGGCGGCGGTTTGGAGGGTTGGAAGGAGTGGCTTGCAGACTATAAATGTAGACTTATGACGAACGCCCCGTATGAAGAGGTTTTTTAATTCAAATTTCAAACGGGGGAGCTTATTAATCAAGAGCCGACATTAGCCAACACTAGTGTATTTGTTCATGGGTGTAGAGTTCATAGACAGATGGTTCGTGGGAAGGAAGTTGCGATGGTGGTTGAACGGATAGTGATGAGTCGAGAGATACGGGTCAGGGGCTGATAGGTGTCTTCATCGATACGGGTCAGCCGGTGCAGGCATCGCCTGGAATCTTTTCCGAAGGAATTTTGGTGCTAGGCTCACTGTGACTAAGGTCACTCCAATACCATGAGTGCTGCATAGTGCTGCTATGCTATTTCGTTTATGTTCGATGCTGGGTTCCGAAAAAGAAACACTGGTAGCTGGAAGCTTTGGAAGCTTTGCTAATGTGCTTCTTCTGTTTGGGGTCACAGTGGCCCCAAAACAGGAAGGCTGCGCCCTTGCTGCTGGGACTGCCTTTCCTTTTGATTTTGTGCTTTGCCAACTAGGGTGCTTGACCCACACCCAGCAGAACTCCAGCACACTCACTGGCTCTCCACTCTCAAACCAGAAAAGATGGTATGGCGGTGCATCCCAAACAATCCTTCGGTCGAGGTGGCCACCATCATTTTTCTTCGTGCAGACAAAATCGCTAGCTGCTTCCGACCTTCTGCAAGGTCAACACAGGATTGTCCCCACCCAAAAAGGTACTTGCACAATCTTGCACATCTGATACAAGAAGGGTATTTCGTGGTCGTTGTCTGCAGCTCTGAGGCACTGCGCCAAGTACATGTTGGGAGACAAGTTCAAGAGTCCCTTTGCTGCAAACTCAGGGCCTGGCCTGGCATCGCCTGACCAAGAGATCTGCCAAGTCGCTTGACCAAGTCCCTCTACTGAGCCCTTTCTAGCCATGTGGGGCAAAGTGTTCGCTAGGAAAGGGGTCACAGATCAATTCAGTAATTCAGAATAATTCAGCCATCTTCAGACCAATGGTCGATATTCCAGCGTGTGGGAAGCTGTTTGATCAAACAAGCACATACAACCTTTCAGAGCGGTCTGCAGTATTCTGCAATTTTGGCGAATGGTTTAGTTAGGCGGCGAGATTCATGCTGACTAACTAACTAAATCGCAAATCAGATCCCAATCAGCTCTATCCCAATCAGATTGCTCTCTACCTCAAATCGGATCCCACACGTGTTTTTATTTTTCCTGCACACGAAGCACGGCGTCTTCCTGCCGGCGATCGAGGCATGGATCTGAAGGAGCTCTCGGGTGGCGGTTTGGCAGCTGATAAGGCTCCCGCGGCGAAGTTGTGATGAGATGAATGAGGCGAAGTTGTGGGATGCGACCTCCGTGCTTCCAACAGTGAGGCGATGATATTTTTTTCTCGGGGACCTCCCCAACGACCCAAGGGTACAAGCCTTCAACGACCATTGACGCGGTCCAACTTTTGTCCTGGCATTGGCTTGCCATTGTATGATTTGGTCAGGTTGTCGGGGAGGGCCCATTGTGCAAACCATTGAATCCATTGAACGGGAACGCGCGATGGAGACAGGATTTTCATGCTGGGGCCCACAGTTAACTCCTTTTGTGCAGGAATTTTCTGGCCTTGGAGACCTTTGAAGACCAGCTTTGATGTGAAGATGTCCGCGTGGCGAGCGCATGTGGCGGCTGTTCGGTTCGGTGTCCGTTTTAACCTGGTAGATGCCAGTATAGGAGGTCAATTTCGCTCCAGGAACTGTGTAACTGCGTGGGGACTCGGACTGATTCTCCCTCATTTCGAGGATAATCTCTGAGAATCAGAATGGTGAGTGGAGGTGAGACTCTTGTCTCAGCTGACTGAGGATCTTACACAGTAGACAATGCAATTTCTTTGACAAACACAAGTGCGGATTTATCGTTGATGTCCGTTCACAAAACACAAACTATACCTACCATATACCTACCACGGTATAGTCTATAACAATGAGTTCGCAGCCTTGCGAGTCTCTTGCTTGAAGAGCCACAGCCCTCTAGAGTGGATTTCTGTATTCAGCCAAATCTTGGAACGTGTAAGCGGTCGAACAGGCCTTTTTCCTTTACACCAAAAGACAAGGACCATCGCATCGCATCTCTCTTGGGCGGATGTCCTTTACCGGGGCTTCGGCATTCTTCGGTTTTTTGGGGTGGGGGGTTGCACTCCTGGCCTAGTGTGGCCCCGGAGAACACCCAGTTTCAGACAAGTCGTGCCGGTTCTTCTGCAAAACGATACTTTTCGTGAAAAAGGCAGGCTGGTGAGGGTTGGAGGGTCTTGGAATCCGTTTCCCTTGGCTCAAGTTCTCAGACATCCGTTTTCCCTTTTGAGTTCTCCCGAAGAAGATGGCCCAGGCGATTGTCTGGGGCCTCAGCGAGCCGAGCGGCTTCGGCTTCGCGCCTTCGGATGCCTGGGCAGTCGGTGCTAAGGAGTCATGAAGCGGCACGCATGGGCTTCTGAAGGAGAAACACCACCGTTTTCTGGGAACCAGATTCTAAGTCAACAAAGCATGCATTGAATCCTGGCGCTTCATCTCCCAAACGAACCCGGTGGGTTGATGCATGGGCCAAGAGCGTCCGGTGGAGCGCGTCACCGGCCAATCCGGCGGTGCGTGTCGAGGTCGTGGGCGGTGGCCTGGCGGGTGTCTCCGCGGCCAACACCGTGCTGGAGTGCGGCGGGAAGGCGGGGAAGCCAGCGACGACGGCGATGGTCTGGACGTTGTTTGGAGATGGTCTGGACGAGACGGAGATGGATGACGTCGTTCGATGACGTCGTACTTGATGTAATCGAACGTGAAAAGCATAGGCCCCTCGGCAGGCTTGAACGTGGTATGTGAGGCCCTGAGGCCGACGGCGTTCAGGCCCTGAGTTCTTGAGAGTGAGAAACCTTCGGAGACATCAAGCGATGCACGGAGGTGGTCTTGGTGGACAAGTCGGCGTTCTGCGGTGGCAATTCTACCAAGGTGCCTGGAAATCCGTGGAGTGATTGGGAGCAGTGCAAGGGTTGGATCAACCTTCACTTTCAAGGACACATGGTCCTACCAGCCGTGGCTGTAGCAGGAGATAGCTTGGAACTTTCCAGATTAGTGATGCTTCAGGGGGGCAAACCAGTTGGTTTGTTCCCACATTCAGCGATTTCGTTTCATTTACTCCAACTCCGATACTCCACTAGCGCTGGAAGAACTCCACCAGCTCGGAGACTTTGAGATGAGACAGAAAACACACACGAACTGACTTCTTGAGGATTTCCCCACTGGTTCTTTTTCCCGTGTTCACTGTTCTACATGTAGGACCAATGTAGGACGTGTAGGTTGAGAGGTCGGTGGGGTTGCGCACGGGAAAGCGACAGGTGCGCCGAACGCGGTGCCGAACGCGCCAGGCCACGAGCGGCATCAACGGCGCAGAGACGCAGACGCAGAAGGCGGGTCGCATGGGTGGATGCTGAAATGGAAGGCAGAGGTTGAATCGCCTCAAGATGAAGGCACCCACCAACCATGCCAATCATTGATACGTGGCTGAGGCCAAGAGTGGATGAATCTGTAGATTTACGTTCGGCACGCCAGCCATAGATACAGGGAGCCAAAATAACTTATTAAAGCAAAAATAACAAAGCAAAAGCAACAGCAAAGCAAAAAAAACACAACAACATGTAGCTGTGCGTGTTTATCGCTTTTTTCACTTTGTTTTTGCTTTGTTTGAACTTTGTTGTCTTTTTTTTCGCATTATTTTTGGTATTATTTTGTTCGCTTTTTTCCTAGGAGCGTACAGCGAATATTGCTGACGGGCAAAAGTTCTCATAAGTGCAGAAGTGATACCGGGGAAAAAGCACAAAACAGCAACACAAATGCAAACACAAAGCAATTGCGCTGCTTTTGCATTTTCCCTTGCTTTTGTTTTGCATTATTTTCGTTTTCTTTTTTCACAAACAAAACATATTTAAATTTGATTGTTGGTCATGTATGGCTGCCATCGTTGAACATAACTGTAGATATGTGGTTTAAATCCAGAGCCTGAGCCTTCTAGGGCCTTGCAAACCATTCCTCTTCAATGTGAGGGTGGGGTACAAGCTCAGACGGCTTTGCGGGTTTGGATGATTGATCGAATGCTATTGCATGAAAAACAGTCTAACACTGCTATTCCCCAAGCGTCGCAAGCGCTGGACACTACTCTGGACCATTTTTGGAGATCCGTTTGTTGCTGGGTGAATCCGTTGATTCTGAGTCTTGATATTCGTAGCAGAGAACGAAGCAGAAAACCCTGGGCCTTGGACGGAACCGCGAACCGACCGCTAGGGGTTAGGGTTATGACTGGGTGGTGTATACCGGACCGTTTGGCAGCGAACCGTTCGTTTCAACGACACGGGGGAACCCTTTTGGATGACCAGAACTTAAAGGGCAGTTCCAGACATAGAATCACCGGTGAAGGAACATTTGAGAGTCGCTGATGGGATCATTATTGAACTTTGGTGGGTGGAAGGTATGTGTATATATATATATATATTCGGTTTATATATATGTATACATATATACATATATATATTTTTGACGCCTCTATGGTTCAGTGCCTTTTTCCTTGCTTGACTGATGGCGTGCATCCGTCAAAGCGCGTGGGATCCATACCTTTCTTAGGCCAAGAAGGTGGAGGACTCTGTGCAGCTCTTCACCTCCGACACCCTGAAGGGTGGAGCCAAGAAGCCTGAGCTGGTGAAGGTGCATGTCACGGCAGATTTGGTGCTGACGAAGAAGGGGAAAGGACGATTTTCAGAAGCGTGGACATGAAAGAACTGGTAGATCTGACCGGGTCTGGTAGATGGATCTGATATGATTGGCCCGGACTGATCTGATGGTTTTAAATTGAACAATCCTGAGGGCAGCTTGGCTCGGTGCTTGCAGGATGTTAAAGGTATTTAAGGCCGTTCAGATTCGTTCAGTATGTGGTTGGGCTGTCTTGAGGTTGTGTCTCGTCCTCGTGCGCAAAGCAGGTGCTGTGTGGCAACAGCGGGCCTGATGTGGACTGGCTGGTGGACAAGTTTGATTTGGACATGCCAGGAGCCCTGGATGGTTTGGTCACCAAACGCTCTGCGAGCTCGCTGGTTTTGGATCGACCCCGGCTTGATCACCCGATGCCGCCAGACATCGAAACACGCCCAGATGCCGCGAATCCAAACTGGGTTTTGGCAGGTGATCCCAAACTTTCTCCTCAGTTTTTGCTGATTGTATGCCTCAAATGTCGGTTTTTCTGCCTTTCTGAGAAGAGCTCAACGACCTGACCGGAGTCACACGAGGTCCCTGCTGGCACGCTTGGGCGGCCACTCGGCACCTCGCACCCATCGTGGTAAGGAGCGCTTCCCAGGACCGGGCGGATCGTGGGCCGAGGGATTCTGTACAATAAACGGCTGGGTGACTTGACTTTCCAATAAAAACAGTTTGACTGGGTCAAACAAGTGCTCCGTACAGAAGCACTTGTGACAGACTTTCTGGTTTGATTCATTGTGGCAGACTGGTTAGTGGTGCAGCTTTGACATGCAGGGGCTAGAGGATAGATCTGAAGCCTGGGCAACAGATTAGCAGTTTGATGGTAATGTTGGGTGAATCTTGGTGGTAGTGCATACTATATGGATCGAGGTAAAACACTCCCTGTCGCCAAGATCTCGTTCTTCTAACAACAAGCCATGGCAGAAGTTGATTTAGCGACAATCATATCATTTACATGTCTTGGAGTGTCCCATCCTATGTTCATCCTTTCTATAGTTGTGGAGGATTCAGGCTTTTCTCAAGGGACCTATACAAAGGATAAAACCGGATTCCACAACTGCACAGGATTCCGCAACTAGGAGTCCGCAACTACTTGCTCAGATTCCGTAACTGGAATTTTGAAACTGCGATTCCGCAACTAGGATAACGCAACTGGAATGCCGCAACTGGGATTCCGCAACTAGGATTCCACAACGGTCAGAATTCCACAACTGGGATTCAGCAACTACGATTCCGCAACTAGGATTGCTTAAAGGAGTCAAGAATTGAGAAATGGAGGAGTAGAGGTTCAGATGCAATTTGGTTGGTGCCACAAGCATACAAGCTTGAAACATCAGAGAGGTGTAGCCTAGATCGAGTTTTGAAGTTCGTTGTCGCGTGAGCTTTTGGAAAATCCAGTGAATTTTCAAAAGTCTTTCGAAGGCCACGTTGGCACTTCGAGATGCGAAGCCATCTGCGAACCTGTCTCATGTGACATCTTTGTTTTGGAAGAAGAGTTCTCACTTGATCCGCTGTCACTGCAATGTCGACCGAATGCTGAGTCGAGAAACCTCGTGCGAAGTATTCAGATGCAAAGATCGTGTACAGCGTTTGCAGTCGGTAAGAGACGAGTACACAGAACAGAGTGGTGCGCCGTCGAGTCACTCGAGCAAATGCAAGCAGAGGTATATGAAGCGGTGCAAAGAGCAGGAGTCTGCAGTGTTGAATCGGTGCTTGAGGTGCCGAGACGACAAGACTGAAGTAGTCTAGATGGTGATATTGTATAGTATTTTTGATTACTACCACTTTGTGATGAGAAATTATGGGGAGCGGCTTTGGACGGCAACCACACGAGCTAGTGTATAATTGTTTCTAGGCGGGTTAAGGATAATGTTGGATCTTGATTAGTAAAAGGCCCCCCCTCAAACAAATGGGGGATCCTCTATAATAAACTACCACCAAAACCAATCTGGGTTCCTAGGAGGATTCCTTTTGTAATTGATTGTAGTATTCATTTTCCTTTCTAAAATTCTTTGTCATTAGGTATTCTTTGCAATCCTTTCATACTACTACAGAAAGGATTGATTAAGGAATTGCCGGCTTTGGGAAGCTGTGAGTTTTGAAGAAGAATTTGAGAAACCAATACTTATCAATACTCTCAGCAAGCCAACCATTGGCTTAGTAGTATTAAGAATTACTATCTTTAATTTTCTTCAGGAAAAACCTTTGTACAAATAAGGACCCTCAAAACAAATTCATTATTGAGGATCACGGGCCTTCCTGGTCTACTACCTTGAAAATTTGTTTAGGAGTAATCTTTTCATAAAGGATTGATTAGGGAATTGACGGTTTTGTGAAGCTGTGAGTTTTGAAGAAGAATTTGAGAAACCTATACTTATCAATACCCTCAGCCAGCAAACCATTGGCTTAGTAGTATTAAGAAATACCTTTTAATTTTTCTTCAGGAAAAAACTTTGCACAATTTGAGGACCCTTAAAACAAATTCATTATTGAGGATCACGGGCCTTCCTGGTGTACTACCTTGAAAATTTGTTTAGGAGCAATCTTTTCATAAAGGATTGATTAGGGAATTGATGGTTTTGGGAAGCTGTGAGTTTTGAAGAAGAACTATAGAAACCTATACTTATCAATACTCTTTGCAAGCCAACCATTGGCTTAGTAGTATTGAGAACTAATATTTCTATTTTCTAAAGGACATACACTTAACCCTAAATATTTTTCAGATAATAAATAATGGGAGCCCCAAAAAGTTTAGTATAATAGAGGACCCTTATAAAACAAACATGGTGTCAGGAATTATTTTTCAAAACATTAGCATTATAGAGGGCCCTATTACTTATCAGCGTCCAACACTAACAGAGAAATACCTAAGGAAGGTGACATTAATGCCCAATGGTTTATGGAAATATATAATCCAACAATGTAATTACTGTGGATGCGGATTTACAACAGATACTAAAGAAGGGTAGTGTATCAATTGCAGCTTACTGCAATAGATGTAATAGTAGTTTTGATTAATATTTACAAAATATATGTTTGTTGTGTAAAATGTATTAAAGCGTATTTAAAGAAAAAGTGGGTATATATACAAAGCAATGGATACCACTAAACAGTATTGCAAAGGATGTCAGAATAGCAGAACATGAGAGAGATTTACTGAAGGGTTTAAAACCTGCGACAGTTGTAGAGCCAAACAATCAAGAAGATATTGCAATAGGTGGTCTTCACCCACACCTGTACACTGCTTCACAATATGCCTTGCAAGCCCAAAAAGGTAGGTCTTGGAGGGTAGCATATATATATATATGTACAGAAAGGGTGCACACACATATATATATACATACGAAATGAATCAAGTTTCACTTACACTTCCAACACCTCTGTTATGTCCAGGTTTCAGATTTTTTTGGTCAATATCGCAGGAAGGTCACACAGGTCGGTGAGTCATGGGCCACACACAGACCTCGGTGAGGCTAACTGTGCCCTGCACCATGATTTTTTAGAGAACATCGCTGAGGCTTCAGGCCAGCTTTTGACCTTGAAGGTCCACCAACTGCTTAGCCGTTCACGTTCAGACTTCAGTGAAACGCCCCTAGCCGCTGTAGGCTGAGGCTAGTGATCGAGCCGCATCGCGACGGTTCAGCCTGGCTTGCTGACTTGGCGACGATCAGGTAGAAGTGTCAATGTGATCCAAGGGTTGTAAGCTATGGGGTTGAAGCCGGATTCTATAAATAAGCAGTCAGGTTAAGATTCTGAAATTCAGGTTCTGAAACGAAATTCAGGAACTCTATGCCATGCACTCGTTCGGAGACGTAGTTTCAAAAACCCAGTTTCACCATGTGTTTCAGACTCCCAGGGTCAGAACCCAACGTCCCAGCTTCTAAAAACCGAACCAGAATCTCAGTTTTGGAACACCAGTTACAGAATCGCACCCGTTTCAGAATCCTAGTTTCAGAGCCCCAGTTTCAGAATCTGACCGATTATTGGCAGAATCCGGCTCTAACCCTAAGTAAATAAACCCTGAATCATCTCTGGCATATGAAGGATCGGATAGGCATTTCTTGTAGGTGATAGTCATTTTTAATCCTGCGGCCCATCTTTCTGGCAGGAATGACTATCACCTACGCCTTGATCCAGATGGTCGAGAAGATTTCGGAGCGCAGCGATCTGGCCCGTATCATCAACAAGGCTGGCCCGGCTTGATGGCAATTATGTGGATATTGATTTACAGGGGCACCAGGCTAGCCACTGGCAAATTTCCTTGGTAGCAGGAAGCTCTTGTTGTTTTGATGGGAGGGTGAAGAGTTGTGGGCCTGCAGCCAAAAAAGTTTGGAATTCTCTCCCAGCTCGCATAGAGCTCATATCTTGTAGGATTCACCGAATCACATGTGTGCCTCCGTTCAGAGCGAATCACCATCAAGTGTTGAGAAGTCCAACGACATGCATGAAGTTTTGCCTAGAAAGATCTAGATTCTAGATGTTCAAGGTCAAAGAGTTTGCCATGTACAGGGGCGGGGTTTCTGTTCCACGAAGGATCGTGCTTTTTGGTTGAACGCAGGCGACCCATTGTTTTTTGTTGTTTTCTTCCACCTCATTATCCTGGACTTGGGTCAATTCGTGTCGTTGTCCGTTGAAACGTTTTCTCGACCCTGTAAATTTGGTGACCACCAGTCGTAGACTTCTTTGGATCGGTCTTGCATGATCATGATGGAGCATCTGGTTTGGTCAAGTAGGAGTGTGGAGAGATGATCGTGTGACGTGTTGCATGGCATGATTGGCGCCCTCATCCCACCGAAACGCCGCCGTTTCGCCGCTTCGCCCAGCCCCCAGGCCAAGGTGAAGCAGCTTTTGACCAAGGGCGATGCCGTGTGTGGCGTCACCTACGAGAAGAAAGGCCGCCCGGCTGACCAACTCGGTGGTTCGTTTGGGACCTGCCAGACGGACCCGAAGTGCCAGATGTTTGGGCCAAGCCACCCGCCCAGCCACCCAAACAGCAAGACCGTTTGTGAAAGATGAACGAGCGAACGTTGGAGGCAAGGACTTCACAGAGGAAGGCCCTGTGATCCTCGCGACTGGCGGCTTTGGTGCAGACTTCACCGAGGTCTGGGAATGGCGGAAGGAATGGATAGGGTGGAGCTGAAGCAGGCGTAGGAACAATGCAGTTGTGGTTGTGGCTTTCTCTATTGAGCGCCTTTTGTGATATTTGGCCATCAACAGCCACTTAACAACTGTGACATCTTCCCAGTGGAAGTGTTGGTGGAAAGACAATGATCAAGTCCTCCTACATGTTACCCGGGCTTTGCCCAGGGGGATCGAGGTGTTTGGGGAGCAAGTGTGTTCCTCGTTGAAAAGGAATATGCCCAACACTAGGAGGTTTATCCAATTTGCCCAATTGGATCCCAATACCTGGGCCCCCTTGAGGCTCTCACTGACACACAGACCTGTTTGACACACAGAACTAACTAAACAGACAAAGCCCTGGTGAAGGATCAATGCACCCAGTCAATGCACCCTTCCCCATTGAAACAGAAAGCAGGCTGCAGCAGACCCCCCTAGATAGAGGTTTGTTTGTTTGGTTGAATGTTGTTTTTGGCCGTCATTTCAGGTCAGGAGTTGATGGCATCGCCACTGGCGTGGTTTAAGATGATTTGCCGCTTTTGTAGGTTTTTGGATGTTCTCGAGGTTCCGAATCAGCAAAATCTTAGTCATCGATCTTTTCGGTTTCCAAGACTGGCCAGGACTCCCTTTTGGCCAAGTACCGCCCTGACCTGCTGCACCTGCCCACCACCAACGGCGACCACACCACAGGCTGGGATCAATATTTGATGACTGGACCACTAGCCAGTGGAGAGAAGGGGCCAGCACATGGAGAGAAGGGGCCAGGGGCACTCCAGAGTACTGTATGGTCTTTTTTCTCCTTCGCGGTAGGTGTGTTCCCAAGTGATACCGGTAGGTGTGGGGGAGTTTCCTACCTGATTCTTCGTTCCTCTTCGTTCCTGCCAATTTTCCGTTGATCCGTTGGGCCAATGGTGAAAAACCGTTCAGAATCGATGAGGTTTCGACGTGAAGGTAATTGGTCACCTGGTGGTTGGTTGTGTTCGACTGGATCTCCGTCCTCGCCACGGAGCTTTGGGTGAAAGTGGCCTCCAAGCGACCCATTTGCACCAGCCATTCGCGCCCGGAGGTGATGGCATCAAGATGGGCGAGGCCATTGGAGCCAAGAGCATCGACTTGGAGTGGGTGCAGGCACGCTGGTGTTGAGCATGCTGCGCATGGTGCGGGCATCAGGGTTCGGCAGCCCTCTCACTTTGACAACAATGACTTGATTTAAAGCACACAACATGTTCAAAAAGGTATCAATGCTCGGACGCTTAGAAAACGGTTGCAAGCATCGGCACTCACATGTATTTCACATGCAGTTTGTTTCGTAAAGCATCTCAACAAGAACTGGTGTGCCAGGGCCTTATCAGGTGCTAGTTGAACACCTGATAAGGCCTGGATGGGTACCACTGGCATCCTTGGATCCAGTTGTCTGTCTATGGCGTCCCAAGACCCACTTCATATCCCTCGCTGCTTGTTCCCTCGCTGCTTCTGCGAGACGGTGAGGTCCATCCAACGGGCCTCGTGGAGCCGGATGATCCGGAGGCAGGACAGTGGATCCACGGCGGGTGATTGACTGTGGCTCACCAGCTTTCCCACTTGAACTGAACCCGGGTGATCGACTGGATGGTCACAGTCAGTACTTTTTTGGTCAGATCCCCGGGTCATCCGTGAAACACAGATGCGTTCGAGGGTCGCACAAATTGACCTTCATCCTGGGGTGCGTGACTTTCATCCTTCATGTGTTGAAATTGAAGGGACTGAACATATGACATATGACGAGAAGGGGTCGAGAAAAGTGGCTACTATTGTCGTGCGTTCCCGAAAGTGGAAAGAGACCATCTTTCTGTCTTCCGAATTCCCAATGATGGCAGCTTAAAGGGTGAATGACACTTCAGTCCAGATTTGGTCATGAAGCCGTTGTTAGATATACCCTCCTTCAATGCAATGCAAATGCAAGCTGAGGTAGCGCCCTGTAGAGGAAATCGGTCTTGAGAGCCAGGCGAAGATCAAGTTCCTCGCTGCTGAAGCGCTCCGTGGTGTGGGCCGCTTTGGCAGTGGTCGGAGAATGTGGGGAGATCGCAGCAACCCTCACAGCTTTGGCCATGTCTTTCTGCTAAGCTTCGCTTCGCTTCGCTTTGCTGCTGCTTTTTGTTACTTCTTTTTGTGCTGTTTGCTTTGCCTTTTGCAGGCTTTGCTTGTTTGTTTTTTTTGGAACTTTCCGTTCCTTGCCTTTGCCTTTGCCTTGCCTTGCCGGCTTCCTTGCCTGCTTGCTTGCTTGCTTTCGTACCTTTCGTGCCTTTCTTGCCTTTCGTAACTTTTTTGCCTTTCTTGCTTGCTTGCTTTCTTGCTTGGACGTGCAGAATTAGATGATCTTAATGAACAAACAGACTACGACTGCACATTTCGAGACTTTGGAATGTGCGAGTTGTTGCCAAGCGTGCGTGTTGCGGAGCCAAGCCATGGTTGCCAATGCAAGAAATCTGCCAGCATGTGTTGGAAGTGTTGTCGGGCCGTCGGGAATATTTGCGAGGGAGACCATGATGGAAACTGAACATGCCCATATTGTAGAGGAAAATGAATTGGGCCACCTTCCAGATATAGAAGTCCCTAGTTTTGCGAATGAGAGAGGGACCAAAAAGAGCAAGAGAGAGCGAGAGAGCGAGAGGGGTAGGGAGTAGATGCTCCCCCTATTCCGTCTGGTGCTCCTCAGCCAAACAATGAACTGATTTTGGTTTCCTAACCCTTCTCCTCACACCGGCGACCCGGATCGCGGCGACCCAGATGCCAGTCCCACCAGTCCAACGTGGCCACAGGCGGGTCTCACGGTGTCACGGCCGAGGTGGCCTGGTGATCAACGCCGATGGCCAGCGCTTCTGCAACGAGCTGGGCCGTCGCGACTATGTGACGGGCGAGATGTGGCGCCCTGGCCCGTGAGGGCAGAGAATGGTCCACCACTTGGAGAGGAGGCGGCAGGATGAGGATGAATACGGACACATATGGAGCCAAGAAAGCGATTGTTCCGATGGTCATGGGGCGCAAGGGAGGGAGGTTGCAGTTGCTGGACGTGCACATTTGCCAATGTAAATCCATTGATCGAAACATTGCGTTGGGCCTCTAGCTCGGTCGGCTTCTTTTGGTTGAAGTCACCGTTCGGGGTGCTCATGGTTGTTGTGAATATGGGGTCATCCTGTTCCCAGGGTTCAAGGGTAGGCAGGGGCTGGGCTACTGAGATTGATGGTGTTGTTTTCGATTTGCCTCCCATGCTGTTCTCAGTTATGGAAACGACAGAACGCTCTTTATAAAACAGATAAGATTATATTAATATAGAATCACTTTGGTCTTGGCTGACCAAGATCGACCGTGCTTTTTTCAATCTCTTCTATGAGTGGGGGCAGCTGGGACAATTTGAGACGTTGCCTGAGACAAGCGGCCGAGGAAGTCGAAGCCGCCCTACCGCCTGTTCTTTGGATGCCGGGGTCATCCGGGTTGGGCGATTCAGAAAGCGTTGGACGTAAGTGGCACTGAATTTTAATAGGTGCCCGGAAACACCCGGCAAGCTGGATGCCTTTATTCACCCCGCTTGAAGTGGTGGGCACCTAAAGAGGTTGGAGAGTATGCCGTGCAGCATGAGCACCAGCATGGGGATCCTTGCATTTCTAGAGGCTGCCATCATTTCAGTGCAGATGGAAGACCAGTTTCCTCAAGATTGATCCCCTTGCAGATGAATGGAGTAGCAGGAGTAGCAGGAGTACGCATGGAGCGGTTGGACCCTTCTCGCAGTGAATGCGGTTGGACTCATTTCACAAGCCCATTGGTGATGGGGCCATACTCGAATAGCTGTATGACCAGGCCAGGAGCACTGCAGGGATCATCATCCCGTCCTTGTCACAGCTCGGATTTTCCGTCTTTGGCCACTATGCCTAAAAAGGTTCCTCCAAAGTCTCCATCTCTGTGAAAGAGTTGGCTTCCCTTGAGCTCAGGATCCTCAACAAGGCAGCCTCTGACGAGATCATTTGGCACTGCAAGCACTACACCGGCCGTGGCGTGATGAAGTTCTACCAGTCGGGTGAGGAGCAACCGATCGGCCCGTCCAACCGATTAGTAACGACCTGGCCTGGAGGATGTAGTAAGAAGGGAATTTATCGTGAAAGGTTCGGTATTTGGGTGGATGATAGATTCTTCAAGACGCAATCCTTTCATGAAAACAGGCCGTGTCCAAAGAAGGCAATGTTTTGTCTCGGAGGTCAACATCAGGTGCTTTCTGAAGGCTTCCTTCCTTCCTTCCTTCCTTCCTTCCTTCCTTGTTGCCATAAAATCCCAAGCGAAACGGACCTCAGGCTCAGGAAGCTCTAATCCATCCTTGAGCCAATTGATGAGACGCCCGGATGCCCCGAATTGGTTCTCCTCAGTTCAGGGATTTAGTGGAACTTTCACATTCACTTTGTCACCTTTTGAACCCAGGAGCTGTGCAAAGACATGAACATCTCAGTGAGCACCTTGGAGAAGACTCACCAGGTGCACTTCGAGGCGGCCAAGAAGCAGGAGCCCACCAGAGCATCCGAGCGGTTTAAAGTGGATTTCCATGGATTTCCGATCCCTATTGTTTTCTCACATTTGTATACATTTGTAGAATTTCCTTTTCCTTCGCAAGGTTTGCAACCTTGTTGCTGGAAGCTGAACCACCTGTGAGTGCTTTTCTCCAAATGATGATTAAGGCCCCAGCAAAGAGGTTTTGGAAGTGATTTCCTCCCTTCTACTTCGGGTTTGGTGGGCGCTGCTTTGAGACACCCATAAGAAGAGCTTAATCGCGTCTGGAGCCTTTCCTGACCTGACCTATGTGACAAGGAAAAGAAAAAGCACTGCTAGCAGACCAACAGGCGGATGCCGAAAACACCCCAGCGCTTCCAACATCATTGTGAACGAAACTGTAGACTCCTATGAGCCAGCGTTGTGTGAGAGTCATATGTAAGATATGCATACATGATCATAGAAGAACAATCCAAATCAGAAACTAGGGTTCAGAAATCGTAATTCAGAAACTATGATTCACAAACGATTCCGAAACAAAGCTTCAGAAACTAGGGCTCAACTACCATCCTGCAAAACTACGATTCAGAAACAACGATTCCGAAACTACCATTCAGGGCAACCTGAAAAAAACAAGTTGACACCCACAAAAGAAACTCAGCAACCTAGTGTTGTTGGGGTGGGGAGTGGCCGGGGGTGGGGTGGTGATGATGTTCTTAGCGCTTCTGAGTTGTCTGATTCGCTGAATTGTACAAAGGCCCGGAAGAAAGACCGGGTTGCGTGCACCAACATGCAAGAACGATTGATTCCCATTGAGAATTTAGGTTTGGCTTCCGAATCAGGGAGTGGTTTCCAAATCATACTTTCCAAACCAGACCATTACAGAAGGGCATGTCTCAAAATAGAGAGGCCAATTAGTTGAGTGGGACATATTTTTTCAGCATGCCCCATTCTCGCTCAACTTTTGCCCTTTGTTTAGACCGATCGGTCCTCGCAAGATCTGAGATGTGAGGAGAAGGACCCTGAGGGCGGCCCTTACCCGGCCTACCCTTCGGGGAAGACCTGGGATGAGCCCAGTGGCAAGACCGGCGTGGGCAAGAAGTTCTTCCACAACATCCTCGAGGGATCCAAGGCTGCTTTTGTCCCATCTTCGTTCGGGTGGACTTTAAGTGCAGAGCACGCTGTCGATGACACATCAGGCCCTAGTAGCGTCCTTGCTCCTAGTAGTGATGCCAGGAGCCCCTAGTAGCTTCTTGCTCCTAGTAGTGAGGCCAGGAGCCCCTAGTAGCGTCCTTGGTATTCTGTGTTGACAAGTTAAGCAGGGCAAGCAGTGGCCATGTATGTCAATCCAGATGTGGAAAGCCTTTGCATGTCAACTGAGCACGCACATGTCGATCCAGTGTTCTGGTACAATTTCGCCAACGTCCAGGTAACATGGAACCAAGCTTTGAATGTCGTTACAGTTGGAAGGAGGGGGTGGGCATCAGACTCATCTTATATGGACCCAGCTCTTCGTATTGGAACCAGGACACTCAGTTTCTCAAAGCTCCAAGTTCTGTCTTCCACCCACGCAGCCCGACCTTGCCCCTCCGCACTTGAACGACCCTTCGTGAACGTTCGTTGTCACGTCGCTTAGCCCACCCACGGACCAACGGAGGTGAAGTCTGAGCCTTTTTACTCCGCAATCATCACCCCTGTGATCCACTACTGCATGGGAGGAGGGCCGGTATGCCAAGATGAGTTTCCCTGATCCAGAGAAGACTGATGCTGACATGGTCCATGGTGGATTTACACAGGTTTTGTGGTTTGAAGAACATGTGTGCAGCAATGACATCAGTGTGCTGCGGGGAGGGAGGTCCAATCCTGCTGAACATCTCACAACTCCAAAGGCCGTGAAAGATGGTGTAAGGGAGGTTGAGTCACCTTGATGGCTTTTGCAGTTCTGCAAGTTGCTGATGAATTGTGTTGGTGCCACGCTTTTGACACTGTGGTTTGTAGCCTAGAGTCAGTCTAGAGCGCTATGTTTCATTATGTACTGTATTGTCGCAGTCTGAGTTAATTGAAGACCCCTTGGCCCAATGGTGTTTCATTTTCCCTGAAAACCAGATGGCTTCTAGGGCCCGTCTGTCTTGAGACTAACCTATCTAAAGTACTGTAGACTGTATGTCTTTGGCCTCTTATGGGAGGACTGGAGATCGATGAGAACTCTGCCGTGGTGGGCAAATCCGGCAAGGTGTGATCTGTAGCGGTGCTGTGGTCGTTCAGACTGCACTCGGTCGGACGGGGGAAGCAGAACATGCTCAAGCTTCCATGCAGAACAGCCTTGGGTTACTTGGGTTAGCTTCCATGTGGAAGCGGAAAGAGTACGGGAAATGATCGCAAACATGACATGTTCCTGATGGTAACAGAACGTTCGATCGATTGCTTGCCATCGAATTCTATTGGATGTCCCCAAGAAACACGTCACAGTTTAGTTGTTGAAGACAAAACAATTCACCCTGGAGTCGAGCTAGGGGGTCCTTCATTTGGTGTATCCATCTCACATTTCTGCGGAGGCCATTCCAGGTCTCTACGCAGCGGGCGAGGTGGCTGGTGGGGTGCATGGCAACAACCGCTTGGGCGGAAACTCCTTGCTGGACTGCGTGGTCTTTGGCCGTGTGGCCGGACGGTGGCGAAGCGGCAGAGAGGAGCTGGCCAGGCGGTTGGCTGGTCGCCAGGGAGGCTGGTCAGGGAGTGGAGTTGACACGTCAGTCAAGCTTCGAAGGAAGGTTGGCCTCGAGTTTTTGACCAAGGGCGTCCTTTGACTATGAATGCAGTAAACCCTTTTCAGCAGCTGTTCTCCGCTGTGGTATCCAGGACTGACATACCACCCCCTTTCCCTGAAGGAAGCCGGAGGGTCTTGTGTGATCTACCTCGTTTGCGGGGGAGTGTTTGAGCCCGTTTGGGGCTGTGAGGTGGGTCCGGCAGGGGTGGGTGGTGCAGTCGGTGCAAGCAGGTGAACAGCATGTGGTTGAGTGAGGAGATCGCATGGAAGGCTTCATGATGTCCACACACCAGAGGAGATCCTCTAGATTTCCAGAGTCACCTAAAGCCGCGCCCGTCACGGCCCTACGCCCACGGCCAGCGGCGCGTACGCACTGAGGCACTGCGCCAAGTACATGCTGGGAGACAAGTTCAAGAGCCCCATCGACGCAGTGGTTCGGGTTGGTTACCGTTGGTTGGTTGGTTCTTTGTGTGTGGATGTGTGTGTTCTCTTGCCTCGGTACCGGTGGTTAGATGGTTTGCGTTTGTCTTCGCCCTAAGGAGACTAGGACACAGACGTGTCGTGGCTCGGGTGGGTTCTCATGCGGCTGGAAGAAGCACGAAATGGGTTGCAATGGGGAAAGCACATGTTTTCCAAATCAACCTATGGCTGGAAATAAGGTTGCATACTGCATACTTCCGCACGGCACTTTCATGGTCTCATTTCCCACCTTTTCGGAAGCCTCAATCAATTGCCGTGACTCCAACATTAGGAAACCGCTTGCGAAAGAAAGAGTACTGTGGACTTCCGGTGGCACTTCAAGAGCCAAAACCTTGATAAACCTTGACCTTCCGATCACCTTTTTGAGGCATGGATCTCAAGGAACTCTCTGGTGGCGGTTTGGCGGCTGACAAGGCACCTGCCGCCAAGTTGTAAGAAGCTGAAGCGAGCATCACGAGCATCGAGCGCGCTTCATGCTGGGCACCATTTGGGTCGTCCCCTTTGTCCAGGAATTTTCCGCTCAACATCAAACAGACAGAACAACAACAGGAAAAAGGAGGATCCTATTTTTTAATTCAATTTGATAATAAATCAATTTGTAATATACATATATATATATTATATCATATAAAGGAACATGAGGAAAGGGACAATTTTTCGATCGGACAAAATGGATGGGGATCTATAAAAAACCGATATCATCTGAGATGGGGAATGATATATCTAAATTATCTAGTATGATATATTTTCTGAAATATATATATATATATATATATTAGAAAGGAGCGCTCTGAGCGGCGCGTTTTTGCATTGTTTATTTTTTTTAATATTTTGTTTCTATATTTGTATTGTGTTTCTATTGATTTTTGTTCTATTGAAAGAATCTTATTTTGCTTTAACCTCCCTTCCCCCCTAAAGGCAATTTCTAAAATTCTAATTTTTAAAAAAACAACAAAAAAATAAAAATAAAAAACCAATTGTGTTAGGACTTTGTCTCATCCTTTCTTCCCTCCATGGTTTATGCAGAATATTATTTGTTTTTTTTGTTTTTTTGGATTTTTGGAAAATAGGAATTTTGGAAAATTGGAATTTTGGATTTTTGATGTCTTGGGATATTTTAAATTTTTAATTGTCTTGGAAATAAATAATATTCTCATTTTCCTTTAATTCTAAACTAATTTCTGAAATTAAATAATAAAAAACCTTAATAATTTATTTATTAGGGTCTAATAATGCTCCTTCTGCTTTTTTAATTCTAAAATTAATAATACCTGACATTTTAGAAATTTAATTAATAAAAATGATATTTACCATCTTTTCAAATAATATACCAATAATGAATTTATTCTCTTTGTATTGACGATATGAAAAACTTAAATTGTCTTGATCTGGGTTTATGTAATGTATAGCTTTTCTTAAATAATAAAATATTTTTGATAATGATTGCACTTTAAATTCTGGGTATTTCTGGAAATTGCTTAATTGAATTTTCCAACTTAAACTACGGGTGGCATCTTGAAAACCTTTATCTTGTAAATCATTTGTATTAGTATTACCAATATTATTAATTCTTCCATAGATTATAGGATTATACAAATAATTCCATTTCTTATATACATAATTATTAGGTAAGTATCGATTCAAATCTTCACTACTTCTTGGAATTCTAAATAAGATAATGAATGCTCTAGTCAGTTTAGAAGATAATTTTATAATATTCATATTGATTTCACCACTACTAGCATTGAATGTTTGGGTGATTGTGTGATAACAATTTGTAATATTTCTTATCTTTGCCATTCTGCCCCCTTCTATGTCCTACCATTCTGACACTTAATGGCTGACAAGTAGCACCAATATAGACATCGTCAATTTTGTCATTTAGTATTCTGTAAATTTTTGCCTTGGAGTAATCCACCATAATATTACATATGTTAATTAAGTTTAAATGTGTTTTTTAAAATGAATGATTAGGGTTAAATCCATTGCTTATATTGGGCCGGGATTTATGTTCTAAAGGCCGTTCCTTTTAAAATTGATATAGCTGTGGCTCGTTAAAGGGTTAGGTTCTTTTAAATCAGAAGTTACAGCGTAAGCATCCAAAATTGAAACAATATCGGATGGATTGCGGTAATCAAATCTTTTGGTATTTTTTCCCCTTTCCTTTGTGTTTTTATTGTAGGGGTAGCATAGGTTGTTGTAGCAAATCTATTAGGTTGTTCTTGATTGATCTTATTACAGCACTTGCAAGGCTATGTCCAACCAAACGGGTTATTTCTGCTGACTTTTCCAATACTTCTATAACATGTTTGTATTTCTCACTGTGATGAACATTTCTAGTAGGTACTAAAAACAGATCATCCATAATATCCCTTGTTAAAGATCCATCACGACCACCTGTGCCACTTATGTATAAAATCTTACCTGTTTTGTAAAATCCACTTGGTGATGAATAGGCATTCCATAAGTCCCTACGGTCTTCTATCTTCTCCTTGTTTGCTACATTTTTTCTTTATCATATAGTGTTTTGTGTTGTTTAAAGTGATCATTTAAGTTCCTTGTAAAGTCATTCATTCTATCATTCCAATTTTGGTTCTTTTTCTCATAATCACTGTAGGTTTCTTGACCGATCTTACTGATTAACATCTGGGCGCTTCCAGGCAGATCCTTCCAGGCAATGTCAGACACATCAATCATTCTCAAGAAAACGCATGAAAAAGGTTGAAAAATGCTTATTTTCATCGAAAAACGTGCCGCTCACAGCGCTCCCCTCTCATATATATATATATATGGTACCCCTCCCGAGATTCACACTTTATGGTGTTTCCAACACTTTTCAAACCCAATGCAATGATCCAATGTACATTTGCTTGCCTCAATGCAACCAAACATCTGCTTGCCTCAATGCTACCAAGTGTTTGCTTGGCTCAACGCAACCACAACAGTGTCCGGGCATCGAATTTCATGTTCTTTACTTAGACAAATTCAGACTTGGGATTTTAGACTTGAGATTCTCAAGTCTGAACAACTTATTCACGGATCCAAGATCCAAGATTGCAGAAAATTCTTGTCCAGAAATCTTGGATCCATGGATCCAAGATCCCAAATCCAAGATTTCAGAAAACTCTTGTCCAGAAATCTTGGATCCATGGATCCAAAATCCAAGATCTAAGATTTCTGAAAACTCTTGTCCAGAAATCTTGGATCCATCCAGAAATCTTGGATCCATGGATCCTACACCCAAGATCCATGGATCCAAGATTTCTGGACAAGAATTTTCTGAAATCTTGGATCTTGGATTTTGGATCCGTGGATGAGCTGTTCAGACTTGAGAATCTCAAATTATTTATCTAAGTATAGAGCATCCTTTATCTCCAAAATTCCATGTGTTTATGACCGCGGCAACCTGCTCGAATGTGCTTCAATTGTCTCTTCAACTGTCTGTCTTGACACTATGGCCATTCCTGTGAGCGGCAGCGTCATTTTGAATGTTAAACTGTCGTGGTGCTCGATGTCGGTGTTCAGAACGCACCAACCACACCGGGAGCTCCTTTATAGATCCTGCTGCAGAAAATTATGGACGGACAAATGCCTATCCATGAATTAAGGCTACCCGTCCTCAAGAAGCATTTGGCGGCCATGGTCTGTAATGTGCAGCGTGGCCTCGAATTAGCTCCTATGGGGCTATTTGGTGTATGGTCCAAGGAAGCGGAAAGCAGATTGTTGACTTTGCTCAAGAAGCCTAAAATGGTGCGGCCACCCGCCGCATGATCGCATATATGTCGCAGGTTGAATGACCTAATTGCAAGGACTTGAGAGCAGTGATTCGGTTCGGTTCGTCTAAGGTCTGTGCTTTGGAGGACAAGAAGGACACATCGCTGTTGGCCTTTCTATCGACTTCAACCACAAAGGACCTTGCTTTAGCTGCTGCAGCGTGTACGACATCGTCATCTTCGGATTCTTCTTCCACGAGTTCCTCGGGGTCATCTTCGGAATTTTCGGATGTAGGCGATGAGCCAGGGCCCAATTAAGGCATTATGGCAGAAGCAGATGACACGCATGAGGGTACTCCGAATCCTGCACTGGGTCTTCCCAAGGACGTAGAAACCGATTTGTCAGATGTCGAGTTGGCGGGACCGAATCCTGCACTGGACCCTGCCAAGGACGTAGAAACGGATTTCTTAGACGCAGATGTGGTTGAACCACCTGCAAAATGTGCCAAATGTGAGCGATATTTGCAACTCCAATATGATTTTGATTCGCTTGCAGATTCCCACCAAACAATTTCCGATGCCCTGAAGAAGAAAATAAGCAGCTGAAGGCGCTGTTGTTCGGGCAGCAGGGCCAAAGTGGGGGGTGAATGTTTTCTTGAGCTTTGCGGCCGGTGCCAAAAAGATGCTTATTACAATAGACTATTTATGCAAAGAGAAATTATAAACCATGTACAACTTCAGATTTGCGGCTCATTATTTGGACTTGAGATTCTCTGTTCAGACTCGAGATTTACTGTTCAGATTTGAAATTGGACATGCGTTATCGCATAACTCTTCCAATTCACAAGTCATAGTACTTGTATCTGTCCTCTGCTGACTCATGTACACCTTGTCCTCATTAATTTCATGTTCGCAATATGTTCTGCTCTGCACAGCTTTCGTGGCGGTTTTGGCATCCTAACATCTGCTTCCTCAGGCTATGGCTGCCTTTGTCGACGAGGCCATGAAGGAGTATGGCGGCAAGGAGTGGTAATATGACATGCAGACAACGCCATGTTACGTCATTAAGCATACGACGGACATTGAGGCCCCTTTGCCTGTCGCAGACCTTCTGAGATGCTGTCGCCCAAGCAGGCGTCAAAAGCACAAACCTGCTTCTAGATGTGCATCTTTCCATAGCAGATTGTGGAACTCCTGAGAACATTGCCTCGGCTGTGCAAAACCAACGAGTCGACGAGTTATCTGCCGCTTTACAATTTGAAGAACCTTTGCCAGAACAAACCAAACTTGGATGCATTGTGGCTGCAGATGGCCATGGGCGCCTAGATGTAATCAAGATCATCTTCTTTGAATCAAAAATGCTTGTGAGCCAGGTGATCAAGAAGATTTCCGGGTCCCCGTATCTTACCTTCCATCGTCAAGGGCCTTGGGCTGTCAGGAAGGCATTCCAGTCCTTGCTCGATAGAGTGCCTGGACATCATGTGCAGTGGGCCAAAGTGTGCCGGAAAATGACAGTCTCTACCAAATCTATCACAACGGCCCCTACATGGGCTCCTGATGATACAGAGTTGCTGCAAGGTATCTCTTTCATTAATGAGAATGCCCCGGAGTCCGATGCCCATCACGAACAGTACGCCTGGATCTTGATGAACATCAAAGAAGACTCAGACAGTCCCATTGCAGGCTGGCCGGAAGGCAAAGTGAGAATCATGGCATAGAACAAGACGAGGGGCATGAGTGGTGCTACCTCGCAGCGGGAATTCCCATTGCTTTCTCTCTCAAGCCCATGCTGTCCGATACAATCTTGCCAGCGCTGTACCCTCTCTTTGTATGCTATGGAGTCTTGTGCCTTGGATGGCCTGGTGTGGGTGAAATCCCGGCATTGATTGCTATGCTGTTGGTAATGGGTCGGTTTCACATACACCGGTTGCAAGAAGAAGGTGTTCCTGGAAGGCGGCGGGCTAAATCTCTAGACAGTTTCAGGCAATACATTGGCTATATCTATGAAGGGATCTTCCTGGACGATCCAAACCGCGAAAGAATTTTCATGGCCGACCTCAAATCCTTCTTCCCAATGGAGGAGGAGCAAACTACATCTGGTCGCTACAATGATTCCAAGTTGCCTCGCAATTGCGTGCGTACCTATGCATCCAATAATCTGCATCAAAAGGATGAGCCTGCGGATGACAACCGTACTTCCATCACAGGTAAAGAGTTCCTGAAGCTCGCCCGTCGCATCTTTGCCGGTGACAGACTTGCTGATGTACTGGCCTGCTTGAAAAGGGCTGTCGTCATCGTCCTGGGCCAGCATGCCATGTATCTTCGTCTGCCCAGCCAAGATTCTAGAGCCACAGTGCATCGCATTAAGGTGGATGACCTCTATAAGGATCTCTTGTCTGAGAAAGACAAGCCTTTATATTCCAAGTACACGTTAGGCATCATGGAGCATGGGCCCGAATGGCAGGATGAGACTGCGCGTGAAGTGCGTGTGATTTCAGCTGGCATGGAGAAGTTTGCGGCCGGCAGGCCAGAAACCTACATTGCAGCTGTAAATGGAGAAATCGAAGAACAGCTTATAGCTCGTCTACTTCCACTTCGCCTTCCCAATAAGGAAATTGACTCGTCATCAGACCAGGAAGACGTTTTACCAAGCCCTCCTGTCATGGCGCCTAACCCGGGGGCACGTTGCAATCGGCTGGGTCGATTCAAATTGCCCCCAGCCAAACAGTACAGTGGCAAAACTACTCAGAGGGGAGAGCCATCCAATAAGCCACCCAATCCGGTTCCTCAGGCCGAGAGAGAAGAGCCACCCAATCCGGGTCCGGAGCTTTCGCATGATTTATCAGTGGAAGGGCAAGCCCAAAGTGCTCACAGTGCAGAGGATGTTGAAATGGAGGCAGCGCTCGAAGAACTCATCGACAACATGCCGCATGAAGATGAGGTGGAAGAAAAACCATTCCAGCATAGTCCGTTCCGACGAAAGAAGCCTGATCCAATCATTTCTGCATAGAAACACTTTCACGCGAATGGGGTCGTGTGCATATGTCATGTGAGTATTTAGATATTGCGCTGCTCGTAAAAAGGCTCGCTGTGCGTGTGCTGACTGTGTCTGTCTAGATTCTCTGCTGCATTGTGTTTCTGTCTTGCATTATCACCCTTGGGGTTCATTCTTGCAGCTGCGCAATAAAATCGGTCTCGTGGTAGTCTCTCCTGTAGTCTATCCTGTGAAGCCATACCTGGCGCTATTGCTTCTGTGACCGTATGGTTGCAAAGTGGAACAACCTTCCAGTCCCAAAGAAAGGCAAGCTCCGTTCCGTGCTGAAGCGGCCCGCGGCTTCAAAGACAAAGGACTGGGAAAAGGTCCCGTATGTTCGAGGCTCGGAAGCTTCTCCACTTCTTCGCCATGATCGCTGCAAATGGAAGAGATCCTTGACGGAGATTTTGACAGTATCCCCAGCATCTTTGGTGGCAATGCTTCGAGAAAATGGCCTTCTTCATTTTTGGGAAGGATCTACATGCCCTCACTGCCAAGAAGGGACTCTTGGGAAGCTGATGCCTGGGGGACTGAAACATCGATGTTCTTCCCGGAAGTACCACAAATTTCCACACCAGAATCATCCTCTTTTTATGAATCACTGGGGCTTTTCGTCTACACCACTGGCTACCTAAGCAGCCCTTCTTCTACGTCTACTCAATCGCATTCTTTACGCCGCAATTCATCGTCTTCTACACATCAACCACAAAACCATTGAAGATATGAGCAAGAGATTGGGCCAATTGCGGGAATCCTGGGTTGTCAAGGCTGAGAAAAAGATTCGCTTTGGCACTGGTGTGAAATGATATAGATGCGGACGAGGCAACCTTTGACAAAAAGATGGAAAAGGGACAACTATACTGGGAACAATGGTATGGGATAATTCAGCGAGGAAAGCCTGATATACTTGTGCTGCACCGCCTCAAACCTCCAGCCTCAAAATTGCGAGCGCCTGGGCCTGGAGCCGTTCGCAAGGTTGAATGGGCTCCGACGTATGTGCAGATCCACAAGCACAAGGTTCCTGGCAGCCAGACGTCTATAAAGGTAAAATTAGGCACCCAAATCATCGTCCGCTGCTGGCGCTATCTAAAGGATAGATTGAATATCAACTAGCACTTTAAAGTGGGAAGCGGTTTCTTGCGCATGCAATTACGGTTAGCTCAATATGAGTATTAGCTGAGGGGTCAAGACCTTTGGACCGCAACTAGTTCATTGGTTAATTGGTTCATGTCAGAGTCCTAGCGCAACGAAACAAGGAAAAATGTGTGTGAGGACTTTCGTCTATGTATGTATCTTGCTGCTCCAACACTGTTTGTATCTTGCTTCTCTAACATTGGTCCCTGTCTTCTCTTTTCTGCTTCGTCTGTTGGATTCTAATGATTTTAGGCAATTTTTCCCCTACAGGATCTACACTTATTTTCTTCATTTCCAATGCATCCAAAACTTTCCTTGCATCTGATGAATTTCTATTTTCGTTTTTCTTAAATACGTCTTAGAAACACTATCAAATGCGAATCTTAGGGGGACTAACATATATATATATATATTGAATTATATATTTTAGTATATATTAAATATGAATTTGAATATTCGAAATATATATTTTTGGATTATTATTATATATTATTAAATTATATTTATAATAATATATATTTATATAATATTTATAAATTATATATTATGTATATTTTTTAAAATATATATTTAATTCATTATATAAAATATAATTATATATTAATTATAAATTAATTGATACATTTGATATAATATATATTAAATATATTTTTAAATTCGATTAATTTATTTTAATATTTTAAAATATTTAAATTTTCGATATATATTAATATAATATTTCGATAATTAATATATTTTGAATATATGTTTAATATTTTTGTATTTCTTTGAACATATATTTATTAACAAATATTATTAATAATTTTGATGAATTAATATCTTTTTAATATGTAATGTATATTATATATATATTTAAATATATATTTATATTCTTTTAAATATATATATATAATATTCTACAATATATTTTTCGATAATTAAGAATCAAAATGGCATTCTTTAAAGGCATTAATTATTTTTATAATTTAGAATATAATTACGGATATAAAAAACTAGATATCAAATATGAGAATGATCTACATTTAGATTTATTAATCTTAAATATTTGCAAATCTTTAATTTGGACCCCCATACAGGGCCCATTTCAACTATGGAGAAGGGAATATATCTCGTACAAAAAAACGGAGCACAAGGGTCTAAATCGGAAATATTCTATCATAATTTTTTTAATTCTACGTATTTACTAATATTATTTTTATATTTGATTCTATATATCTGATATTTCACGATAAATATTTGGTAGGAAGGATTCATATTTGCGGTTCAGGTCCGACAAGAAAAAATCAATCGAATATCGTAAAGAAGATTCAATGTTGCCCGTCCAAATTCGTAAACGAGGTCTAGCGGCAAATATTGCCATCGGGAATTAGCGATTAATGTCCGATAGAAATATAATATTACTATCCGAAATTTAAAAATATAATACGATGACGCAACTAAAATATTTTATTGCTGCGAAATATTATAATTTATTTATTATCTACCATTCATTTTATTATTATTACCTTTTTTCTAGCCTGCCTATAAATTAAAATAATATAAATAATTATAATCCGCCAGAATATTATTAATATTAATCGGCGGTGAATTAATTAATTATTAGATATAATCGATATATTCATTATATATATAATATTTTTTTCTAATATATATTTTAGATTTTATTTATTTATAATTAAAATTATCTATATATAAAATATATAATATATATAAAAAAATCTTAAATATATCCTAACAATATTATTTACAAAATATTAAACAAAAAATAATCACTAATAGATTAAATCCATCATTATAAAATTAAAATCATCGCTATTAAAAATTACGATCTCTTTTCAAATACTTATCCTTCGATATCAAGACTAAGAAATAATTAGATAATAATCCTTATTTAAAAATAATTAAATCCTTTTTAACAATATTTATGAAATAAATTTAAAATACTAATCAAATAATATCTTCCTCGGATAATATACAATCAACCATTTCTTATTTAAACATTAAATAACAATTCCTTTCCCATATATATTCTTTTATTAAAAAACTAAATAACAATAAATATATTAATTTGTATATTTATCAATATTTCACAAATAAATTTAATAATTTAAATATATTATCCATATTAAATAATATATATTTATAAAATATTTTTATTAATTCATAATCTATATTTAATTCCAAAAAATAATCAACTATATCTTAAATATTATATATTCAATATTCGATATATACTAAATCAATAATAATATATATCAATATATCATAAAACAATTTTCCTAAATATAATAATATAAAATAAAAATTACAATAACACCTGATAATTACTTTTATGCATAAAAGAAAAATAAAACCAAATATAACAATAATATATTAATCAATATTAATATTTTCCATATTTTTAAAAATTTATATTTATCGCTTTTACAACGTTATATTAATCCAATTATATCAATTTTTTGCTAATTCATATTAAAATTCAATCAAATATAATAAACAGTATATTTAAAAATTACTATTTTAATATATATATACCCATTTCAATATCGATTTTATACCAATATCAAGGATATATATATATATAAACATTTAATTTTAAGTAATCGTTAATTAAGTACTCTTTCATCATAAAATAACCGTTCTTCGTGGGAAAAATATCTTTCGCGGATCTTTCGCGGCCTCATCGCGAAGCATGGTCCTACAACCATATCTAACTAACATGAGCCGGAGCCATTCGTGTATGTATCACAAATTCGGGATTGACATCTTGCAGCATGTCCCCAGCAGAAAGTTAAGAGTTTCCACAACTACTCAGGGTCACTTGCAGCATCTGTGCGACGTCTCGAAAAGTATCCTAAGCCCTGGCGGAGGGGGAGCCTTACAACCCAATCCCCATGCCAGCTATTGCGGAATGTTGGGGAGCCTCAAGCTGGGAACCTGGACTTTAGCGGCACAGTTGCGAAGCTTTCGCGGATCTTTCTCCTAATTTTAGGGGTTATTTGCGGGAAGGCATAATATTTGCAAACATCTGCGCAGCCCGTCAGAGCAGCTGCAGGTCGTTGCCTCACTGTCAGGGTTGTGGCCACTCAGGTTGCTAGTTTACGCCGAGGGCTGGGCAAGGAAATGTTGAGGCTTGAGCTCGTTAGTCTGTGACAATGGGAACATGCGGGGACACTTTCGCCCACCGGCTCTGCGAGGACTGCCTTGTATTTCTACAAGAAAGGAAAACATATGAAAGCGAATACCTTTGATAAATCTTTCACGGAACAAACACATACTTTCGCGAGCCACATCGCGCATCTTTCGCGGATGGTTGTAGCAACATCTGAAAGGCTATTGTATATAGAACTCCTTACACGGGGTTTTAGATCAACTCCCAAATATTCATTTCAATTAACTATTTTAAAAGCATCGATCGCTCATCCATATTTATTAATTTTGATGGAACTACGTAACATTTGTAGGTGCCGCAAACTAGCCAAGCAAAGTGTCAAATACATCAAAATGCCTAGTTGCAACAGGATTGATCCACTGTCCTTTTGATTGGTGGAGTTGGACAGAAAACAATGGCTCACTAGAGAGGATCTGTTCAGTGACCCTGCCCTTTCTTCAGTTTGCGCAACCCAGTGACCTCTCCTCTTCAAATTCTTTCCAGGCAAAACTCATTCTCATCGTCCCTGGCAAATCCGTGCAAATAGCTTTTCTTGTCTCACACTCAAAGCTATCCAGAAACTTACTAAAGCTATCCAGAAATATAGACAATTCATGAACATTCCATCCCCTCTAGGACAGCGTTATGAAGCCATCCACGAACTGCCGACTGGATTTCATCAAGAATTTTT